AACATTTCTGGAAAGTATCAATATACAATTTTCATTTAATTTGTTTTATTTTCAATTGTTCACTTCTCAATCAAACGATTTCCATGACAACCAGATATTATGAAATATTTCGATTTTCGATCAATTCCAACAATCATATCAATAGATAAATAAACAGTTTCTATGGCAATTAATAAACAAATTCGATTCTTCGTTGTTTTCTTATATAACATTTCTGGAAAGTATCAATATACAATTTTCATTAAATTTGTTTTATTTTCAACTGTTCACTTCTCAATCAAACAAATTTCCATGACAACCAGATATTATGAAATATTTCGATTTTCGTTCAATTCCAACATTCATATCAATAGATAAATAAACAGTTTCCATGGCAATTCATAAACAAATTCGTTTCTTCGTTGTTTTCTTATATAACATTTCTGGAAAGTATCAATATACAATATTCATTCAATTTGTTTCATTTTCAACTGTTCACTTCTCAATCAAACAATTTCCATGACAACCAAATATTATTAGTAATATTTCTATTCTCCATTCAGTTTTTCCTATAAAACAATATACAATTTTTTTAAATAAAAAAATTGCCATGACAACCAAACAAATCTAATGAATTTATGAATGAATTAGATTATTTATTCTTTTATTATGTAATTACAATTACAGTAAAAAAATGCAATTATTCAAAATTTGTTACTTTGTTAAAAATAACTTTTTTTAAATTAAAACATTTTTTAGAAATAATTGACTTTCCACCATTTCTTCCATTGATGTTGGTTTCTCAATCAATCAATTTCCATGACAACCAAATAATATTAGTAATATTTTTCTCCTTTTTGTTTTTCCTATTGCCATGACAAAAAACAAATCTAATGAATTTATGAATGAATTTATTCTTTTATTATGTAATTACAATTACAGTAAAAAAATGCAATTATTCAAAAATTTTTTCTTTGTTAAAAATAACTTTTCTAAAATTAAAACATTTGTTTAGAAATAATTGACTTTCCACCATTTCCTTCCATTGATCTTGGTTTCTCAATCAAGCAATTTCCATGGACATTTATTAAATACAATTAGTTTCTACCAATTTTCTTCTGTTTTCAATTCATAACTTCAAAAAAATCCAGTTATTTGAAATAAAATTGAGTTTTAAATAAGTTTTATTTCTTTTTCATTCAAATTAAATCTATACGGAGAAAATATTGAAACGCACATTTTAATCATGAATAAAATCAAAATTTCGTTAGATTTTCTATTTATTTTGTATATTTATTATGAAATCTGAAATAAGATTTTTTTAATTGTTTTTTGTTTCAATTATGTTTCTCTCACCATAGCAACTAAATAATATTTACCGTAATTACTATTGCACTGTATATTTGTAATTAACTTTTTTTTCCTCAATATAAAATTCATAAAAGAAACTATAATTTTTTAAAAAATTAAAATTAAATATTTTTTTATGTTAAGTATGAGAAATACGATTAGTTAAGAGAAATATGTCTTAAAAGTTCATAATAATAAAGTTTATGTAGATTTATCGGTGATAATTGTTAATTGAATTATTGTCAATGACAACGAAATTGGTTACCATAGCAATAACTATTTGTTTTTGTATGGTATTCGACTATTAAGAGAAATAATTATTTTATATATGTTTCTTTTTTTATTGGTGATGTGATGATTATTGTAGTTGTGGTTTAATAGTAGATAAATACGTGGAAGGCTGCGGCCTGTTAAAAGGGCATAATTGCTAATAAATGGAGCCCTAACGGACAACGGGCGTGCAATGAATACAGTGTGTGTGTGAGTGAGTGTAGGGAATGGAGGGAAGAAGAAACAAACAAAAAGGCAACGGTAGAGTGAGATGTATTATTTGGTTAAAATGAGAGAGAGATGAAGGGATGAAGGAATCATTGGCTATTTGTTGTTGTTGTTGCTGTTGCTGCTGTTATATTATATCGATGAAGCCGTAGGGTTTGCATTGAAGAGTGGTGGAAGGGAGAGAGTTTCGAAATACGTACACACATACAAATCGAGATTCAGAGACACACGTAGAGAGAGGCAGTAAGCCGTGGAAACATGCGAATAACGGCGTTAAGAAGTCCCACCCCTTCGTACAACGCGCGGTCCAGCCCCCAAAAGCACGGGTAGATATTTCAATAAATGCACACACAGTCATCTGCAGACCGAGCCCGAGCCCTGATCCCTTTCCTCCACGCCGCAACCGTCTCGCTCGCACTCGCAGATTTACAGCATCCAAACCAAAAAAGAAAAAAAAACAAAAAATCAGAGAAAAAGCCCCCTTTTTGTATATTGAGTGTGTATGTGTGAGAGAGAGAGAAGGATATAGATTAAGGGCGCGCGCGCTGCGTCCTCTTTCGTTTTTTTTTTTCTTCTTTCTCTTTCTATTTGTTCGCTTCTTCTTGCGCGTTTTTATCGTTCCGCTGTTTTATCCGGGGCCTGGGCTGTTAAATAAATTAAAGGATGCGCTGATCGCGGAGCGAGCGATGAACATGTTCCAGAACACCGCGCTGCACTTCCTCGCCCATCCGGAGAAGATGCTGAAGAGTCTCAATCACCATCACCATCATCACCATCACCATAACAACAATAGCAGCAGCATCATCAATAACAACGCGTCGCCGTTCTCGATGGAAAGTCTGCTGTCCTCGAGGGAGAAGTTGTCGCCGGAGATCGGCGAGAAGGAATCCGATGGGGAGTTCAAGAAGTCAGATAACAACAGCGAGAGCGACAGGACGTCGCCGGATCGGCAGATCGCGAGTTCTGCAGGACTTCAGCAGCAGCAGCAGTTGATGGCGTCCAGTAAGGATGATGTCCTGGCGCGCTTCAACAGCTGCTTCAAGAACAGGATATGCTCGAACTGCGGACGTTTGGACTGCAACCTCATACAGTGCCGTCTCGGCACGGAGAACATCATCAAGGACACGAAGCCAGTGCTCAAGTTCAGTGTTAGTGCAATCCTAGGGAATGAATACCACCAGCAGAACAATAACAGGCATTCCATACATACAGGTAAAACAAAAATCTTCACAATCTAAACACACAATCTATTATATAAGACGTGCACTTCTTTAGATTTTCAAAGAAATTGTCTTAAAGATTGATTGAATATGTTTAATAACTTTAGAATTTAAAAAAAAATCTATTGACGATTATTAAAAAATAACAATGTTTTCATTAATTAAAATCGAATTAGAACAAAAAATAAAACTATTAAATAATATCACAACCAAAACAAACTTTAGAAGCGCACTTCTTTATATTTTAAAAGAAATTGTCTTAAATATTAATTGAAAATGTTTAATAAAGTTACTTTATAAATCTATTGACGATTATTAAAAAATAACATTTTCCAATGTCTTCATTAATTGAAATCGAATTAGAACAAAAAAATAAAACTATTAGAAGTGCATTTCTTTAGATTTACAAAGAAATTGTCTTAAAGATTGATTGAATATGTTTAATAACTTTACTCTACTTCAGAATTTTAAAAAAATCTATTGACGATTATTAAAAAATAACATTTTCCAATGTCTTCATTAATTGAAATCGAATTAGAACAAAAAAATAAAACTATTAGAAGTGCACTTATTTATATTTTCAAAGAAATTGTCTTAAAGATTCATTGAAAATGTTTAATAACGTTACTCTACTTCAGAATTTAAAAAAAATCTATTGACGATTATTAAAAAATAACGTTTTCCAGTTGAAATTCAAAGAAATTATCTTAAAAATTAAATGAAATATATGCAATAATGTTAGTCTATCAGAAGTGCACTTCTTCAGATTTCCAAATAAATGAAGTCTTGGATTAAATGAAAGAAATGTTCAAAAACATTTTTGAAGACATCAAACTTTTTTTTTATTAGAAATGCACTTCTACAGATGTTTTAAAGAAATTATCTTGAATATTTTCTGAAATATTCATTGAATGAAATCGAATTGGAATTAACACTTCTTTAGATTTCCAAAGAAATTGTCTCAATATTACTTTGAAATCTTCATTGAATCCAATGATAATTAACACTTCTTCAGATTTTCCAAGAATTTATCTTGAAGATCAATTTATAAATATTTGATAACATTTTCTGAAATATTCATTGAATGAAATCCTATTAGAATTAACACTTCTTCTGATTTTCAAAGAAGTTGTCTTCGATATTACTTGAAAAATGTTTAATAACGTTTTCTGAAATCTTCATTGAATGAAATCCAATTAGAATTAACACTTCTTCAGATTTTTCAAGAATTTATCTTGAAGATCAATTTATAAATATGTGATAACATTTTCTAAAATCTTCATTGAATGAAATTCAATTATAATTAATACTTCTTCAGATATTCAAAGAAATTGTTTTCAATGTTAGTTGAAAAATGTTTGATAACGTTTTCTGAAATATTTATTGAATGAAATCCAATTATATGTAACACTTCTTCAGATTTTGAAAGAAATTGTCTTAAATGAAATTTAATTGGAATTAACACTTCTTCAGATTTTCCAAGAATTTATCTTGAAGATCAATTTCTAAATATTTGATAACATTTTCTGAAATCTTCATTGAATGAAATCCAGTTGGAATTAGCACTTCTTCAGATTTTCAAAGAAATTGATTTCGATATTACTTGAAAAACGTTTGATAACATTTTCTGAAATCTTCATTAAATAAAATCCAATTATAATTAACACTTCTTCAGATTTTCAAAGAATTTGTCTTCAAGATCAATTTCTAAATATTTGATAACATTTTCTGAAATATTCATTCAATAAAATTCAATTACAATTAGCACTAGTTCAGATTTTCAATGTATACAAATTGTCTTCATAACAGATAACATCTTCTGAATTCTTCATTGATTCTTATTTAGACTTCAAAAAGAAATTATCACCTTTAAAATGTTGTCAATTTAATAGAATATAAAGAAAACTACATAATTTGATCACACTTTCATCTTAAAATAAACTATACTAAAAGAAGTGTACTTCTTCAGATTTCCATTGAAATTGCACTGAAGATAATTTAAAAATTTTAATAGAAAACATGAAACAAATCTAATCGAATTCTAAAACTACATCACTACATCATCAACATTCACACGTAAAGCAAAGTATAAAATATAATCCTTCAGATTTCCAATGTGTATACAAAATTTGCAAAGAAATTCTTTAAGAAAAGATGCAAAATTTTCAATAAGTATTAAGTTGAAAGATATACTACATTCTGAAATCTCATTGTAACATTGTTAAATACACTATCAAATAATTATAATAATTATAGTTTAAATTTCTACTAAAAGACTAATTTATTTTCAAAAAGTTTTCAATAATATTTTGCACACTATATTTCTAATACCTTTTAATTTATTCAAGTTTCTATACTTTTTCTATAGAAATTTTATATTCAAATTTTGTTTAATTCTTTATACACTAAAGACATTTAGTTAATAGAACAAATAAAACAGTTACAAGACGTGAGTAAATAGAGTAAAACATGAATTTTATATAGAAAATGTTTATTATAGTAGTATAATTTTTTATCTAAATATAAATGCTAAAAAAAACTAATTGTAATTAAAATTTAGAACAAAAGAAAAAACAATTGAGAATTATATGGTATTATCGCCATGACATTATCCTTACTTATGTGCTACCATTTCCATGGTAACTTTACGATCAACAATAAAAGCGCTGCCTTTCGCAGAAATAAAATTAATAAAAAATGAAAGACGAGGGCAAATCGATATTTTATCTCTTTCCATCGTTTCACGCCGATTTGATTGTATGTCACCGAAAGCGGAAAAGAAAATAAAAAAGAAGGAAATGAGATAAAAAGAAAAAAGCATTTCCACCCTCACTTGGCAACTCGTATTCAATTATCCATGAAATAATTTCAGATTAAATAAGACAAATTATGTTTATCACATATTGCTTAACTACTAAACTTATCTAATTATTAATAAACTATAATAGTGTACACACATTGTATTGTATAATGTATACAAATTGTATTACATAAAGGTAAAAAAAAGGTAAAAAAAACATCCCTTTGTGATCGTTTGGCTAATATGGAATTAATAGATGTTTGGGATCCCTTATTATCTTAGGTGGCTATGAGAAAAGCATTGTTGCTATGGTTATGTATCCCTCTCTCGAAAAACCCCAAATGGGCGTGACCGTTGTTCTTCTTGTCGTTGTTCATTTTTTTCTCTCTAGCCTTCTCCTCCTATTTTTTGGCTTTACCGTTTGTTAGGTCGGTCTGTAACGTCCCATTCATTGTGTGTGTGTGTGCGCGCACTTAATCCCAAACATAAATATTATCATATTATATTTTTATAGGTGGCACAAGGAGAGAGCTGTTACATCCATACATGCATGTTTTCAATGGTTCTTAAGCGGTTTTTTTTTTATCTTTCTGCAGCCCCAAATTTTTTTTTTTTAGGGGTTGATAGCACAAAGGGCGCATCCCGATGATGCACTTTTTTCTCTCTCCGCTGCACAGATACGCAACAACAATGGGATGTTTTTACAAGGTGTTAAAAACACACCGACCGGGATTTATGGGGCTTTATGCAATTTTTGCCTACAATTGCTGCTGTTTTTTTCTGTGTATATATTTGGGGATTCCCCTGTTTCGTGGAGGTAGTAGAGTTGCAGATACACTGTCCGGCGTTCGTTTGTTGTTTTCCTGGTTATTCGGGGGGACAACCCTGCTCGGTCGTAGGGGGCGGCACCCGACATGCCGAACACACGCATATTTCATCGTCGGTTGCCACCTCCAACCCCCCAGAACAAAAAACAAACAGAACAAAACACGAATACCACGAACAAACGCTAAACGTTTAGAGAAAAAAAAACGTCAGTTTCCGTGGGAACAAACAGTAACAAAAATGCAGCAATAATGTTTTATATACATTTATGTAAAGATACGTATATAATCATACACACTTTATATTCTCTACATTTTTATCTTTAATATCCATACTTTACTTTTTATGTATGATTAATAGATTTCGAGTAAAATATGAAATTCGTACATTTTTTATACTTACAAATTTAAACTACAATTTATTTTAAATTAATTCATGCTAAGATTCTAAGTTTACACAGATTTTATTCTCTATAGTTTTAGCTTTAATTTCCATGTTTCACGCTAAATGTGTTATAAATATATTTCGAGTAATTGAGTAAATTATAAAGACACTTTAAAATTTCAATTTATAAGAATATTATTAATGCTACATTTATAATAATATGAAGACACTAAATTTTAAATTTGACAATGATATAAGACACTATATATTAACTTTGACAATGATATAATTCTCCATACATTTAGCTTGAATCTACAACTTTTGCATTCAATTTCTCATCAATAATTTGTGAGTTATAGACAAATATGTGAATTTTAAATTATTAAATTTGACAGCGATTTATTAAATAAATATTCAAGTTACATTTATGAGTAAACACACCTTTCATTCTCTATAGTTTTAGCTTTAATTTCCATGTTTCACGTTAAATGTGTTATTAATAGATTTCGAGTAATTGAGTAAATTATAAAGACACTTTCTCAATAATATAATTTTAAAATTTCAATTTTGGCAGCAATTTATAAGAAAATTATTAATGCTACATTTATAATATTATGAAGACACTAAATTTTAAATTTGACAATGATATAATTCTCCATACATTTAGCTTCAATTTACAACTTTTGTATTCAATTTCTCATCAATAATTTGTGAGTTATAGACAAATATGTGAAGACACTATTGTTTTTGTGGAGCAAAATTTTAAATTATTAAATTTGTCAGCGATTTATTAAATAACTATTTAAGTTACATTTATGAGTATACACACCTTTCATTCTCTATAGTTTTAGCTTTAATTTCCATATTTTACATTAAATGTGTTATTAATAGATTTCGAGTAATTGAGTAAATTATAAAGACACTTTCTCAATAACATAATTTTAAAATTTCAATTTTGGCAGAAATTTATAAGAAAATTATTA